TCATTAGACATGTAATTGCAAAATGATAGCTCAACAAAATGATAGCTCAACCTTCAACTTCAAAAGAGTTAGATTTAAACAAAATTGAAATTTTAATTTAAATTATTACATTTATCAAAAACAACGGAAACGTTATTTTTCAACTAACTTAAAATATTAGCAAATTGAGTTGATTTTAATTTTAAATTTCTGTCATATTCCCTTAATTTGCTTTATATGAAAATATGAGTAATTTAACTAATCATATAATTAAGAATAATTACTTTAGCTATATATCAAAAAGCTGACTTAATTAAGTGTGTATAATATCAATAAATTTGCATAATTTTATATCCTTCATGTATGGTATTAAAAATTATCAAAACAATCTAATAATCCATAATCATGTTAATTAAAAAAAATAACCCTATGTTTTTTTTAATTTTATTTATTATACATAAAATTTTCATTTTGACTTCGAGTTTTTAAGATAATTTACTAACAAATCTCAATATAAAATAATTTTTATTTTTTAAGATTATTTGGTATATTTAAAATTTATAAAGATATATGAAAATTTAGTATTTTTATAATATTCATTTTATAATAATTAAATATTCACATGATATACTTTTGATTAAAATTAGATTTGTTTTGTCTTATAAAAAACATTAGTCGTTTTTCATTATAAAGCTAGCAAGCCGTTAAAATTTTATTTGGAGAATTGACTATCCATTTCATGACCATATTAAGAAAAATTAAGGCAACTTTTAATATATTTTGCTCATATTTTAAGAGGATATAAATAGAAGATATTTTGGTGAGTTCATGGTGAAAATTAGAGCTTATAAAAATCATTTATACTTCATAAATTCTCTTAAAAAAATTTCTTTAAGAAAAATTTTAAGGGTTGATCCAAATCTCTCCAAAATTTAAGCTCATATAAAGCCACATCATGTGCAAGCATTTTTTTAAGTTTCAAGAGATCATCAAATATGTAGGATCACTCTTAATATTTTAATTTTTACATTTCTCAAATAAATTTTAATTAGATCTGAGTTTTTTTTTTTTTTTTTACTTCTACCAAAATTTCAAAAAAAATTTGTAACATAAGTTTAGTATTGTTATAAACTTTACTTTTGGATTGCTCTTGCTCGTCAAAGAGAAGCATATTTTGTAAGGATTTTCTTTGCCTCATGGAGAAGATTTTGCAATAATAAGATTGAAATAGTGGAATACTAGACAATAGAAAACTGGGGGAGAATTTCGATAAGGGACGAATCTTGTAAGAAAATTTGTGTTGTCTCTTGCTAATATTTTCTTACACCTATAATGTTCTTATATCTACTTAATTTCTTACAAATCAGAATTTTTTTTATAAGTCCACATAATTTTTTAAACTAAATAAATGTACACGATATGCTTTTGATTGGAATTTATATAATTATATAAAAATTAGTAATTTTGCAAAAATTTATTCCATAGTAATTTAATTTTCACATGATATAGAGTTGACCAAAATTAAATTTTTTATGACCTATAAAAACATTTAAGATTTTCATTAAAGCTAGCAAGTAGTAGAAGTTTTTTTTTGGAGAATTTTGACTGATCGTCAGAGCCTCATTGACTAAACATTTCATAGTCATTTGGAAATAAAACAAGCGAAGATTTTATTTTGAGAAGCTATAAATAGAAGAAGATTTGGTAAGTTTGAAATGAACATTGAAGCCAAGAATGGTCTTCTTACACTTCTTAAATTCACTTCAAATTAATATGTTTCTAGAGAAAAAATTTATGGGCTGGTCCAAATGTCTCCAAGAACTTAAACTCACATAAAACTACATCATTTGTAAACGCTACTTAAACTAACATAAAACTACATCATTTGTAAACGCTCTTTATAATTTTTTTCTCCATCTCTAGGAAGATATTTTGTGATGATAAGATTGAAATAGTGAAATATTAAATGGTAAAAGTCTAGGCAAGGATGTTGGTAGGAGCCAAACCTCTTTAAAAATTTTTCAATATTGTCTCTCACTAATATGTTCTTACTCTTATAATTTTCTCACATCTATTTACTTTCCTACTAATCAACATCTGAATTCCACACTCACTTGAATTACCATAAGTCCACATAAATTTTGAACAGGATCTATTCATATGATAACACTTTTGATTAAAATTTATATAATTCAATAAAAATTAGTATTTTGCAGAATTTATTTTATAATAATTGAATTTTACATGATATGTTTTCAATTAAAACAAAATTTTTGTATGATTTTCAAAACATTAGCAATTTTCATAAAAAAGGCTAGCAGTTGTTGGAGTATAATGGAGAATTTACACTAGTTGTTGAGGCCTCATTGACTAACCATTTCATAGCCATTTCGAGAATATTTAAGAGAAATTTTGTATAATCTTTATCCATATTTTAAAAGGCTGAAAATAGAAGATAGTTCAGCAAGCTTGATATGAAAACTAAAGCTTATAAAAATCTTCTTACATTTCATAAATTCTCTTCAAAAAAGTAATTTTTCTCTCAAGAAAAATTATGAAAGCCTCTCCAAAAACTTAAGACTCAAACAAGACCATATTATTTGCAAGAATTCTTGAAGTTGTTCAAGTAATCATCAAATCTATAAGTTTGCTCTTAATATTTGTAAGTTTTACTTTTCTTTGCGATATTTTTATTAGATCAAAAAGTTAGATTTGATTTTTCTTTTTTTTTTTCTGCCCTCATACAGAACTACATTATTTGCAAAATTTTAGAAACTTTTGTAATAAAAGTTTAATATTTTTATAAACTTAGGGCTTGTTTGGCATCAATTTTTTTTTGTTTTTATTTTCGTTTTCATTTTTACTTTTATTTTTGAAAATATCTACCATTAGTATAATTTTTACATGTTTTTAATTTTTTTTAAACAAATCTCCTTATTGTAAAAAAAATCAAAATAACTTTTAGGTGTTTTGAATATTTTAAAAGCAACTACCATAATCAAATATATTTTAATTCAAATCAAAACATAAACAAAGCATAAAATAAAATTAATAAATGAAAAATAAAACAAAACTGGCACCAAAGAACCCCTTAATTTTTGGTTTGCTCTTATCCATAAAAGTAGCATAGGTTCGAAGGTTTCTCAGCCTCAAGGAGGAGATTTTGTGATAGCAAGATTGAAATTGTGAAATACTAGATGGTGAAGGTCTAAACAACAAGATAAGTAAATGCCAGACATGGTTAAATTTTTTTAAGTATTGTCTCATACTAATATTTTATTACTCGTATACTTTTTTTAAATCTCATACAAATCAAAATTTTAAATGAAAATTTAGATACATACCACATATCTCTTATGTATTTACATATCTAACAATTAAAGTTTGATAATTACACTTATAACATTTTGTTATTAAAAATACATGCATGAAAATGTGCAATTCACTTTTTAAAAAGTTAGTGAGAGTGATATTTTTTATGTAATATCAATTATTTGAGTGGTATGAATGTAAATATGAAAGTTTAGATGTTAGATGCATAATATATAAGAGTTGTGAGATATGTATGAAATTGCCCCAAAATTTAATTCCACGCCTATTTAAATTTTTATAAGTCAACCACCCTCTTATAATATTATATTCTTCACTCTCTACCTAAAATCAATCTGTAAGTAGCCTAGTGCCCTCCTTTTTTGCATATGCCCTTGTACCTACTTATCTGCAAGTAGTCTTATGCTCTATTTTGGATTAATAAATTATTTGGGATAAATTTATATCCTAAAAAAAAAATCACAAATTGCGATTCAACAAACAATCATAAGCTTTACTTGACAGCACAACACATCACAATAAAAAATAGCGTAGCATACAAATCACCAAGCATAGCCTATATGGAAAAAGAACTTAATAAAAAATAACAAGACACATAAAATGTTGAATATGAACTAATAACTTGAAAAGGAAAGGTAACATGAAGTAATTATTAGCTTAGGATGTCATGATATGTTAGACAAAAAAATGCATTACAACAAGATTCATGAGGACATAAAACAGCAACAATGATATGCAGGGGGTGGGGGGGAATTAATTTCATTGTTGATGCCAAAAATTGATTGACTTCCAAGTGCTTGTATGGTTGAAACAAAATGAAACTTAGTTCCTAATCTTAAAATTTACCTTCAAAAAAGTGAGAAGCAACTTTCAATCTCAGGATTAAGAAGTCACTTTTTTTTTTTTTAATGTAACTCTTCGTAATAATAGAATAATATTTACATTCAGTGGAACATGGATTAGATAGATACTTTTGCTTGTAAAAACTGAGTTCACAAAAAGTTGGTTTCTAAGAATAAATGGATACCAACAAAACTCTTGTAAATGTGATCGTATCCAAAACTGACATCCTAACACTTCCAGATACCTGTCGTGGAAAAAAAATAACCCTAAGGGGGTGTTTCATAGCATAGCCATGGATGTAACTTAAATCCACCCAAACAGCAAAAAATTGAAAATTAAATCTAATGGTCCATTAGATGAAAATTTTCCGCTTTTCGTCTCTAAATCACACGTTCCATCTCTTTTGCAATGAAAATCTAGATTTAATAAATCCGATTGAGAGGAAGATTACGGATTTTTTTCCGCCGTCGCTCGCATGGTCCATCACCGTTGACACAGCAATCGAATTTAGTGCATTTAATAAATACTATTTAATCTAAAACCGATGTTACAGCAAAACACCGCCAAAGACTTGATATTCTAAACACTAATAACCATAAGATAAACGGTGATGGGAAAAAAACAGGAATCACCACTACATGTATGGCTAACATCAGGTGAAGAGTAAGAATATGACCAACACTTAGATAAATCCCTAACACCAAACAAGAAACACCAGGAAAACTGCACATTCATATCCCAAGCTTTGAATTTAAGGAAAACTACCAATGCCGAGTTCAACCATTTATGATAAGGATCAGAAACAGTGGTATAAATAGCTATCACAGAATATTGGTATTGGATCGCACCTGTTCGCGGGTGGTGGAGTGAGCATTGAGTTGCAGAGCTAGGGCAGCGCTTGAGGCCATGGTATGGGCGTGGAGGTGGGGAAGCCTCTGAGAAATGTGCTCCGGAGGGATTCTTAGCCGGAGATCCTTGATTGAACGGCGGAGGGCGGCCGCCGCTCGGTCAAGTTCCAGCACGCGCTGCTGCTGCTCCGGTGTAAAAATCAACAAAGGCAAACGGATATCATCGTCTTCTTCCTCGTTCCCCATCCCGCTCCCACCAACGACGTCGGCAGCCCACGCTAGAAGCCCGGCCATCACCGAAGTACGTCGATCCTCGGAAAACTTACTTCGGGAGGGGTTTGGCTGGTCTAGGAAAGTTTTGTGATGTGATAAAAATATAAATCGCCTTTTTTAGGATACTTTAGTGAACCCCAAGATTCATCTGGCTTGTGATGTGATAAAAATATAAATCGCCTTTTTTAGGATAATTTTGGGGAAGCTTGAAAAGCCAAGTGGTTTATCTGTGGCTTGCATTTAGTGTAAAAGAATAAGCTGGCGAAACGTACGAACCAAACGATACGGCGGAGTTTTCAAATTCACTTATAAGCTATCCTAAATGGACCCTTAGTTTACTTATGATAACAGATGTCTCACTGATTATATGCATACTTCCATTCATTAAAAATAAAATCACTTGGTATATTATATATACAAAATGTGAACAAAAAACTCTATTATTTTTATGATCAAGTTCAAATGTTAAAAGCTATCTATGGATTAGCAAAACAAAGATTTACCCAAGGAATCAGAAAGAGTATATTGTGTTACAAGCCAAGTCTTATATAAAAAAAAAAATGGCCTTCACCTTCATACCTCAAAATTCTCACACGTACATTTCTACACAAACTTTCATATTTACATGCCTAATACTCAAATCTTTAACATTACATCAAAAAATTCATTATTACTTACATTTTAAAAGTGAAATATACTTTTAGTGCGTAAGTTTATGACATTAAAGTATTATAAACATAAAGATGAAAACATAGTTGTTAAACATATAAATTCATAAAAATTGTAGGGTAGGTATGTGAATTTCTCGAAAAATAAATAGGAAAATAAGCTAATACAAAGAAGTAATTACAAAAAATTTAATCAATGGCTAAATACCTTGATCTTCATCATTATTGTATCCCTTTATCTTTGCCACCCAATAGGGTGTATGTGGTTGAGTTTGATGGCTTGATTTATCAATAAGCTAATCAATTTGCTTTAGTTATAAATTTAAAAAAAATAATAGAATCGACCATTATTTTTTAAAAAATTGAACTATATTAAACCACAAGTTAGTTTGATTGGATTAGTTCAATTTTTAGATAAACCAAAATAATTAACTTTAATAACAAATCTAACGATCTTAAAAATTAATATATAACTTCAATTTTAGTCTCAATTTTATAAACAATTTTTAAGTCAAATGTGGTGATTGAAGTAAAGCTTCACAGTATTTTAATCATGCCACCTCATTTGGTTGATTTAAAAAGTTAAAGAAATATTTTTTTTTTTTCATAGCCACAACTTATTTCATCACTAAGACATGGATAATGTTGTGCATCCAAAGTTTGAATATGATGTCTTGATATACTTAAGAAAACTTTAAATAATTTTAAGCACATATGATGTCGACTAGTTGATTTCTGAATTGTGAGAGATTTATGAAGTCTTTTCACCCATATCTTCAGTAATTTTGTGTAACTAATGTCAATTATTTTAAGGACGTCATTGAAGTTGCAATTTTAAGAGAATGATTTTATGTGCACTAATGATCACATTCAACATCTTAACATCATATTTTTTTTTATAAACAAAGTCAACTAGGTTTTAGTGGATCCTAACACGTTTGTGAATTTTACAAACTTGACTTCTCATCATTGTTATAATATACACATACAAAATTTATGCTCTAATAAGCTTATGGTGCATGGCTTCCATAAAAAGGATTAGAAGGCTTAAGGTTTAGTATCTTGTTGCTTTTGGATGGAAACATTCTAGCAAAGTCAAGTTCCCAAGCACTACCTCATATACATAATTTAATTTCCTTTTTGTTAGACCTTTACTATATAAATATTGGAGTTGCAATTTTAAGCGAATAATTTTTGGTGCACTAATGATCATATTCAACATCCTTACATCATATTTTACTATAAATGAAGTTAACTTAACTAGGTTTTAGTGGATCGTATAACATTTGTGAATATTACAAACTTGAGTACTCATCTTTGTTATAATATATACACATAAAATCTATGTTCTAATGATGGCTTAAGGTTTATATATCTTATTGTTTTAGGATGTAAACATTCTAACAATCAAGTTCTTTATCACATCTTCATAGACATATACATCATTAATGTCTTTTATGGTATACTTTAGCTACGTAAATATTGACTGTTACCATATACTCTTCAATGATTGGAAATTATGAATACTCATATTGTTCTTGTATCGAGACAAAAAGATTGAGTTTATCACTAAGTGTTATTGATGGTGGTGGCTGGCATCTTTGTAAGATTAATGAGTGTGAAGGCTTTGGATTCTTATTTTAATAAGTAGTTTGGTGTTTTTTTCATGGAGTGATGAGAGATTATCGCAGTTGTAGTGATAAAATTTCCAAGACTAGTCCAGTATAAGCTAGTTTGGGATAATTTTGAAGATCACACTAAGTATGTGGTTTAAATTTAGATAAATTTTTACAAATGTTTATGAATGGTTAACCTAAGATGTGTATTTATGATGGATGGGATGGTTAGATTTGGATTGGATTACATGGGTGTTAAGGAGCAGGGACCAACATTAGGGCTTAATGCTATCTAGCTCAGTTTAATGTTATAAGGAGGTATTCAGAATGGTTGGAGGCTTTAATTGTTGACTTGTTGATTATAAAATATTCTTAGGATGAGGATGAAGATTGAAGAGTGGTGAAAAAGTTTAGATTATGTGTTATAAAGCACTAATAACTAGCTTAAAGAACTAAATAACTAACTTTCTAATCTCACCCAAGAAAAGGCACACACTTGAAGCCATCAAGTACCAAGAAAATAAAAAGTTTCACTCAAAAATAGATTTAATAATTAAAAAATAATTTATATGCCAACCTTATTTATTGAGTTTATATTAATCAAAATTCAAATAAAAAGACGATGAAAACATTAGAGAGAAATTCATGTGGTTATTAATAGAGGAAGGTATCAATCGTGTTATTAAATTGTATTTTATAATAGCCAACCAATACATGCCTCAAAATTTTAAAATTCAAAGCTTCAAGAAAATAAATTTAAAATTTAAATAAAAAATTAAAAATTCAATTATTTCTTTTTTAATGGACTCTTGTGATGGGTCTTATTTAGGCTTTTTATTTGACACTTTATTGGGCTCTTGTAAATAGACTTCTGACTTAATTTGTTGATTTACATGATATGCTACATAAACTTCTCTAATATTATTGATCTCTACTCTATAGAGTTAACATTTAAAAAGTCTTTTACTAATTGTGGGGCTAGGGTCTCCATGTTAGTGTGGGTTGTCCATATATTATTAGAAGATGGTTTATTCTTCAAACAAACAAGAAAATTGAGTTAGTGTCTGTTTCTTCTATGATGATATAACAAACTTCAAAGAATTATGGATTCAATAAGTAATCAACTAGGTTTTTTGCCAAAAAAAATAGACTTAATAAGTAGAGGTTTATTAACTCCTTCATATGATAGCATATCTTTAATATTAATAATAGAGAATTAGTGTATTGGAAGGCAAATAAAGATGGTAAATATTAGATCCATTTTTTATAATAATTTTAAATGAGACACAAGTTATTACATATAATTTTCAATAATTTGTGGTATAATATTGCTCAGGGTGAATGTGAATCAAAATATTAAATTCTTTTATTGACATATTATGGTTTTCTTTAGAATCATATTTATCATTATGTTGATTGATTTAAGTGCAAAAAATTAAGTGCCTAAAATTAGTTATGAATTATGTTTAAATGATATATTTTTATGTATTTTTATTGTATTAAATTTGAATTTTGTAACAAAAAATTGACAGTAAAATATTTCAAAGAAATATGAAAAAGTACTGCAATGTAGAGGTGCCAAATGCACAACATTCTAATGCATGAGGCCCCAATTTTTTGGGAGTTCCCTAAAGTGTTGAAACGTAGTGCAGATTTTGAACATCACAACACCAAGGATTTAATGTCATTGTGTAGGATTAGGAGCACCACAACACTTGAGAAGATAAAATTTGGAGGAGAGCCTAAGAGCATGGTGTCATAACGCTACATACGGTATTGGTGCACTATCATTCTAATGCCACAACACCACGATGTTGTAAAATGAAGAAAAAGAAGCCCAAACTCCATGATATTAGTGATACAACATTATTTTTTAGCATCCCAATGTTGCATTAGCAACACCACATCACTAGTTCATAGTGCCATCACTTGATGGCTTAACATAATAGTTTTTATTTTATTTTGAAGCAGGCCATAAAGAATTATGGAGATTGCTAGATTTGTATAAGGCAATTCTAGATATAGAGTATAATATAGTTTGTGTTTGGTGTACAGAGAACTTAGTTCCATTTGGAGTGTGTGAGCAGAAGTCTAAAACATGTGCAGCAAAATGAATGATGAAGCATATTTGATCACAAAAAGGCTTAATCAAGTTCTATCTTTCTTACTCTAGCATCGTTATTGTGGTTGTAATGTTAATTTTTTTTGCTTTTTGCAATAAATTTTTAGGAACTAAATCTTTTTTTATTTCTATATTTACGTTTATTTATAAAACTTTGTATATTTTATTTATGTTGTTTAAAAAAAATGAATATTTATTGTTTTTTCGATCCTATACTTCATTTAAGTATGTTTTGACAAGAAGTATTTTAATATCAACTGTGATTCAATAATTTTAATGGAGACCTAGTAGAAAGGTTGGGTTAACAATCAATTTTCTGATAACGTAAGTATATCATTTTTGAAAAATTGTAATCTTGTAAGGAATTAATTTATTGAATCATTTTATTTATTAGAATAGAAATATCACTAATCAATAATATGAAGGTTTTTGTGCTCCCCCTTTTTTTTATTTTGGAGAGACCCTCTTCATGCTTGCCCCTTTCAACCTCCCTTTCAAATAGCCTCTGCTCAGAAGATATAGGGAGAGGAAAAGTAAGAACAAAATTGGGCAAAGATGAAGAAGAAAATAAAAAAGATAGATATGAAGATATCCTATAAGAAAATATTTGTAATATGAACTGGAGAAGAGTGATCTAAAATGGATTAAATCATATCTAAAATTCCCTTGATTCCCTCCACCTGGGGGCTAA